CACATCGGGAAGGCAGTGGCTCAGGGGGACAAATGTCAGGGAGCTCAGAGCCTTCTAAAACAGGCGCTGTCAACGAGTTCTCTGCGTGGACTTTAAGCCACTTGCTTTTCTTCACACTGAAGCACTTTTACAGTGGTGGGAAACGGCTTTCTTTTTCTTAATTCTGCAGTTTTGCCATCAGCCTAATTAAGGTGGAGAAGAGGCTCGATTTGGACAGCCAGGTTTATTGGAGTAACTCATCTGGCTGAAGAGAACGACAGACCCCCCTCCCTGGAGGGTGAGCCAGGGAGCTGTGTGGATGAGGATGAGGCAGAGAGAGGGATGAGAAAATCGAAACACGCAAGCGAGCGGGCCAGAAGCGAGATGTTTATACACGAGTACATTAGTGGGCAAGATTAGGGTTTGACTATGTGTCCTAATCCTTTGTTTAAAACTCCATTTACTGCAGGCCTGGTCTTCCCGAGTCGTCCTCAGACACCTTTTCCATGCGTGCTTTTCACTGTCTTGTTCATGGAGTCTCGCTCAGACTAACCTCCCTCTCACAGCCGCCTGAAGTGCAGTCTGGACACAGACAAGCGCATGAGTGAATTCAGTTAGGCCCCGGCAGGGTGATGAATTTATAAACCTGAATGTATGCTATCGATTGACTTTAAATCTGCTGCCTCCTTCCGTTTTACACAGCTAGCTTTAAAAATGAAGAGAAATTCTTTTCAGTTTTATTGCTTTCTGGGCAGACAGCCTTGTCCAGATGCTCAGTTTCAGTCTCCTGTCTACTCAGGCAACAGCTCCTGATAACAGAGTTCACGGCTGTCAGAACTGCTCAGGGGATACAGATGAATGTTGCAGTAAAGGAAAGACCACAGACGAAGAAATATGGGCAACTCTCCCCCAGGAAAAATAATTTAATTAATCAACATACATTGTATGAATACAAAATTTTAGTGAGGTGGTAATGTACTCAAAATGATCAGGATTTGTTTTCAGCCAAATTAAACTATCGTGAATAATTGAGCATAATTAAAACATAAAATCTGCTCTATGTGACCTGTCATAATAATGCAATTTACTTCCTGTGGTTTTGATTATACATATTGTGTTGCGGAGTAAATACATTTATGGTAAGAACTGCAGTAGGGTGCAGTTGTGTAGATATTTTTGTTTTTTTTAACTAGGGAGTCCTGATTATGTTTCCTGTTGTTTGGCTGTGAGTACCCTTAAGAGAAGCCAAGTCTTCATTTTCTTCTTTTTTCAGGGTAACTAGTGAGCAAAACTAATTGGAGCAGCAGGATCCCACCGGGATCCAATGGCAGCAAGTCAGAAGCGGCATAGCTGGGCTGTTTCAGGTGCCGGGCCGTGCTTCTTTATTGGGTACTGAAACAAAGAGGGGTTCTGTAGTCACCTGGCAAGTGCCACAGATATGAAAGAGATCTGTGTCACAGCTCACGCATCAGGCACATTTGTGCATTCCACATGGGCTCCAGCTTCCTGCCTTTAAGCCCCCACCTCTCGGCGGCTCTCGCGGGCTCCAGGCGCTGTCAGCGCGGCTCAGCGCCCCAGGGTCCGGTTACAGTGCGGAGCGAGGTCAGAGCCCTCCCGGCCTCACGCCACCCCGGGTTCCTCTTCTACTGAAGGAGGGGCTCCCCTCTGCTCAGCAGGGGTGCACGACTCCCGTCCTGGGGGGCCCCAGTGCTGGCCAGTCTTTACTCTCCTTCTGCTGGTCTTTAGTCTAATCGGACCAGTTTAATCCTTTCCGAGGGTCTGCGGGTGGTGATGCTTTAAAGAACCAGAAAGCCCACTGGAGTCTGGCTCTCGAGAAATGGGCTCGTGCGCCAAAGTTGTCAAGACTCTAAGCCTTCCTACCCTGAGAGGGGGGATCCCCTTATTTATACGTGTGTGGTCATACTTCTGATGCCCGTGTTTGTTGTGTTTCGGTGTCATGGCTGCCTGAACACGCAGTAGGAAGACTCTGCCCATGCCCCGGTATTTCCCCTCGCTGAAGTTCTCATGCCAGGGCTGACTTGCGCTCACTCACGCTCACACGCGCACACTCGCGCACACTCGCGGCACGCCGGGACTTTAAACAGATCAACTGCAAGAAGAGTGCATTCCACCTGGGGCTCTCCATGTACACAATAGCAGCAACTTATTGTTTTCCCACCTTTGTTAATAAAGGATCCATTTTTTTTTCTTGTGCGTTTTGCATTTACAGTGTAAATAACGCCCGGGACTACAGCTAAGCTCAGCGAATTTGCAGTACCGAGCCCCTGAGTAACCTGCAGACACACGCACTGCAGCAGCCACTCAGCCCCTCCTCCTCGATGGAGGCCAGCGTCACTCAGTCACTACCAGGGCTACACATGCATCACAGAGCGCTGGGGGTAGCGCATGCAGCCTCAGCCTGCTGGAATGGGATGCAGAAAGCAATCTGCCCCAGGACGAATTGTGGACAGGAACTGCTCATTGCTTTGCTGGCAGAGCCAAGTTCGGTTCGGACCAGGACTTGACGGCCAGGACGTCGATGAGCTGTGCCGTCTCTCCCAGGGAGAGCCTGGAAGCCTCTCGCGGACAGCAGGCTGGGCTTCGCTCAGAATGGCCCAGACCAATGCATCAAGAGCATTAAGGGCTGCCCGTGTTGACATGCCCTTGTGTCCCTGCGCATCCCCACAGCTCTGTCCTTAACGGTTTACTGCCACATTGCCTTCCGGATATAGCTAATCCTTTTTCCTATCCCCATCGCCCAGGTATTTATAACTGTGGGCCCAGGCTGGGTTAACTAGAACTGCTGCTCCGGTCCCCCAACCCTCCCCCCAGCCCGAGCCCAGCACTGCAATCGAAACCCAGGCGGCTACTCTCCTCGCTCACGCCGACACCACTTGAAGGATTTCATGGACGCTTTCTACCGTAAATCATGGCAGAAGCACATCCAGATGCAAACCCAAACTCTGTTCAAGACTAAAAGTCCCCTGCTGTGTTTCTTTTGTATTTGTCATTTTTATTTTTTACGGACCGTGGCATATAAACAGTAGCAACAGCGCACCGGCTGTTACATTACGTAGGGGGGTGAATCTTCGTATATTCACCGACAGAACCTACAAGCCAGCAGCAAATTAAAAGGCCACGGTATGAACAATAAATAAGTGATAATAAGTGTCAGTTTCCAAGTGTTTTTTTAAACCTCCCGTTGACTGTGCAAAGCATTAAGTTTGTATAAAAGATTTTATTTAAAGTTTTGAAGTGGAAATTGATTGCCGGTCTCAGAAAGGGTGACAGTACGTTTCGGATATTTAAGTAGATAAGACGAGAAGAATTCCAAAGACAACGTGGTCAAAAAAGTATTCCAAACCGCCAGGACAACATTTGGGCAATATTTTACCAGTACAAAACAGGATGTAAAACAACAAATGGAAACCGAAATGCAGGAGTTTTAAATGTTTAAATATTTAGCAGCTGGGACGTATCTCACTTTTAAAGCCGGGGCCCAGCTGGGAGGAGGTCCTGCCTTGGCCACGTGTAAATGAGTTAATGATCCGATTTCCACACTTGGGACTGAATCGCACTGAATTCACTTTATGGTGGGACTGATTTTAAAGCCATCAAGTCACCAACAGCATCACTCCATCCTGGAGTTTATTAAGGAAAGATGCTTAATATATCTAGTTTTTTAAAGCTGGATGGTTCTCTGAAATATTGAAGATAAACCCCCCTTCTAATCCTCATTCTTCAGCTCTCTTTTAGGCATTTATTGCTGCAAGAATATGTCTGAATAAGGCTTTTGGTGCAGTGCATGGAGGTATGTCTAGAGCTATCCCCCCTGACCTTGAGGTACACTCGGATAAATTATCATCTGCAACAGGAAATCAATTAATAGATCTGGCTTGATACCGGCATCAAGGCTAATGAAATTCCGGCCCACCGGAAATAGACGCTCTCCTACGTTCTAGTGGGCTTTCTTCTGGATAAGCATGGATGGCGGCATTGTGAGCACCCCAGAGCATGAAATGAAAAGTGTCAGGATCTGTTTTGCTCTAGTCTGCCATTAGATCATCATAATACCCAGCATCCTTAAAAAGATGAGACACTGGAGGCAGCATCTATTCGAGTCCCTTACTCTGCAAACGTCTGCTGGCGTTAATGGCCACAGCGCCTTCTCCTGAGAGCTGTGACAAATGGAGAGATGGGGCAGTGAACACCATGGCCTTCTTCCCCGGCTCTCAGTGGGGAGGAGCGTCAGTCTGGAGAAAATCATATGCATCATTAGAGTCATTGTAGTGATAACAGAACATGCTCTTTGGACCAAAGCACTGTTGTCTCTCTCCAGGCCTCAGGAAGCTTTGAATGAAAAGATCCAAATCTGTCACAAGACAAAACTGCAGACTTTTCTCTCGTACACTGAATTGGTAGTTGTGGTTTGTAATTGCCAGTTAGGTTGCCATCTCACAGTGGTATTCTTCTCGTGTGCATCCTCTGTATTTGCACTAGTCCGTCATTACCTTCTGCGTTTTGCACTGGGAGTCCCTCACTGCCAACAGCAGATATACCCCTGATGGAGCACTGGTGCAGGTGTCACTGAAAGTACAGCCCAGCTGACAGGTCTCTGTGGTTTGGAACCTGACCAAGCTGCCTCTCAGCCAACTGGGGGACAGCACTTGGAAAATCTCAATAACTGCTGGCTTAGGCCATATCTTGGTTTCAAACCACTGATTTCTGGATTACAGGACCAAAACCGCCATCCAAGAGGAATCCTTTGCCTATTGAGCTATTCAGCATTCCAACCTTTTTGAGATTTCAGAAGTAGCTGTGTTTTGTTTTGTAAAGGCATTCTAACACAAAGTCCCTGATAGTCTGGGTTGATGCCCTGCCCACGCTGAGCTGTAGAGCAGGAGACGGAGCCCTGTGATCAGAGATGCTCTGCCTCCTGTCCACACCAGCTGGGAATGGGAATGTGAGACACACTGCAGTGTGGAGTCCCCCACATGCCCACAAGCACTGAAACACACTTCCCTTTTTAATGCAACTTTTATTTTGACCTGCCTGGGTCACTGCCCTGGGGAAGCCAAGTGTCCGAGTCCAGTAGTGTCTTCCTCCTCTTTGATGCAGTTCCACCGCTAGTCCACAAGAGGTGCTGAAGGTGGCACCAGTGAGCTTCCTCTGTATGTTTTGGGGAAGCTGGGGAGGGCCCTCAGCTCAAACCTCCATGGCAGGCTTGCTAAGGTGCCCGTTGCCCTGGTTGCCCCCCACATGCCCCCCCTCTCCTGCCCCCCCTTCCTCATTCTCGTCCTCATTCTCGTCCTCCTTCCTCTTGTCGTAGCGCTCATAGAGCACCATGAGCACCCCCATCACCCAGGCGGACACGGTACCAGCCGAGAAGATGACGAAGCCGATGCCGATGAAGAAGAGGTAGTCCCAGTAGCCGAGCATCTGGTGGCAGTCCATTCGCAGCCTCATGCCCACCTCCGCCAGCCGCAGTCCGCTGAGGGCAGAGGGGCCCCGGCACACCGTCCGCACCTCATCTGCACAGGCACACAGACACATGGAGAGTAAGAACGATCCCACCTGCACAGTAGAGGTTACAGGGTGTGGGGTATAAGAGTAGAGGCTATGGGGGATA